CATGGAACCACAAAGCAGATGCAATCACCATAGAAAGTAGTGCAGTGACAATACAATTTTAAATCCATTTGATAGGCAAACTGTATCAGTTGAAATTTCTCAGGATGAATGAGTTTAAAACTCGTTATCTGTAGAACAGCCTATCCCATGATACCACTTTCTTTATTCAGATGGAGACTGGAGAATATGGGTACACATTACAGCTCCAGCCACAGCATGTTTTGTAGATAAATCCTGTACAGTATTTGTTCTCTATGCCTTTGCATAAAGTTCTTTTCCACTGTAGGAGAAAAGGGTTGAGAGTGAGGGTAACAGTGAAAGGGTTATCTTTAAAAGACACCGTGCACAGAACTGTGAAATGTCAAGATGTGTTTAGCATGCAGGCCCTAATACTGGAAGGTGTTCTGGCATTTAATGTCCCACTTTAGAGGTTTAAATAACTGGCAAGTGCTCTAACCTCTTCAAGCAGTCTCTCAGACGGTAAGATTCATTATGTCTAAAGGCACCATTTAGCCAGAACACACAGCAAAGTAACCTCACAAAGTGCAGGTCATAAAATACTTATTTGTTTTATGGTTGAGTTTTCACATTTTCCCTTTTCTCCATTGGAAACTCCAGTTAGTTTCAGCTGACTGAAGGGAAGTAAGAGACAAAATGTTTCTGTGAAAGTACAATAAAAATAATTCTTGAACGAACTGGTTGGAGAAGGTTGGAAACATCTTCCATGGAAAGAATAAGAACTGGAATCAACATTTAAATATTCAATGTAAAAATTTTATCACAGCTCTTAGGAGTAGTCTGCAGATATTTTTTCACTTACTGAAAGTCACAGATGGGTCCTCACTAGGCAAAGGACTCTGTCTTGATAAATGTCTTAACTCATCTGCCAAAGGTTGAACCCCCTATCTTCTTTGTCCATTCCTTTGCTTACGCATGAAAAATTTACAGGAAAGAGAATACAGTGATCATAAAGTTTCCTTTTCCCCCACAGGGAAGTTTTTTATAGGTTCATTGATATGGGGATGAAATACAATACTTGGAGGTTCTTGAAGTTAACAGCATATTTATTTGTCAAATATACCACATCCACCTGTTACAGAGTTGGAGGCAGGAAGATACTGGTATGGGAGTTGGAGCATGTAACTTAATCTCCACTTCATTTTTACTTTTTTTTCTATCTGTAATATGAGGAATTTAGATGAAATCATCTAATTCCCATTCAATGTTCTACAATTTGAGTCTTTATTGACAACCTTAAAATGGTACATAATTTTTTTAGAGTAAGAGTTCTCAGCTGAACTACTTTTTTATCAAGCATATGTATTATCACCTTTAATCCTCACAACAGCCCTACAAGGTAGTTACTATTATTTTAACATTTATTTTTCTAAGTAAGGAAATAAAAAAGCCTAGGAAGATAAAATGAAATTCCTAAGGTTTCACAGTTTATGACATGGAAGAGGTTTATCAAATCCAGGTCTGATGGCAAAGACAGGTTCTTAACCGCTAAACCATATTACCACCCTTAAGGAATGTGATCCATCCCAGGACCTCATTTTAGATTTGCAACTGGTAACTATACAAGGTCAAGTAACTTGCCCATGGTTGAAGAGCTAAAAGTATCAGAGTCAGAAACTGAATCCAAATTTGTTTTCCTCCAAGTCAGCATATATTACCTTCTACCACACTGCTTATTTCCTGAAGCTGCAAAACAATATATAAACAAGTAAGTTAGTGTTCCCTATGATTCTAATTGCCAGATTTAATAAACATAACATCAAACAACTGCAGAGCTCCTAAATGAAGTTGAGAGCAGGTGAATTTTCCGAAAGAGCAAAATGTAATAAAACAGACAATGCAAACTAAAGATTAAAAGGCTATTAATGCCATCTGCTTCTTTCTGAATCAATTTGCAATCAACATGGTATCTAAATTCCCATTATTCCCAGCTTGTGGGAATGATCTAGATCCAAATATGCTAAGTCCAAAATCCTTGAAGATCCTCCCTAGTTTGCACCGACCTTACCAAAAAACACGAGCCATAGAGAAGTGATTTAAATGGACCAACTGCAGACGTCCCATCATTTGTACCCAATATGAGCATCTTCTAATGGTGAACAGCTTGATGCTTAAAACTTGAGACAATTTTGAGCTGTTATAAAAAAAAGCAGCCGCTTCTCTGCACAGAGGAAGTATGTACATATATTTTGTCCCGTCAAAGATGACTTGAAAAGCCCTCTTTCAATTTGCTTTGAGAAAAAATAGCCTTTAAACTGAGATTAAGCGGGAAAAACTCTTGATAAAAGGGAATATTTTTCAAAAACCTGCAAGTGACTGTGAAGCCAGTTAACACAGAAAACCTTGTCACCTTAAGTACACCATTTGTTACCACACATGCCAGAATACATCTATTCATCTTCTTTTAATTGCTTAGCTGCACTAGAAATACAAAGCAGCTCACTGATGCAAAGGCTGTGAAAGAATATTTTGTCATGGAAACTGAAAACATTTCAAAGCAGGAGCTCTTCTCTGGTGAAATGAAACCTTCTAGCTGTTTGTTGGGGCATTGAATTCAGCTGATCAGTGTCTAGAATAAGAGGCCTTCTCTCTGAGTGGCTTTTGCATCTATCATCTTGTGTTTGCAGATGGCTAAGAAAATTCCTACAATTTTCCAAGCAGAATTTGGGAGAGCAGTAGGTTGCTGTTTCTTCCTCTTTTCTCAGAAAATGACAAATGAGATTATCCCTGAGTCAGGAGGCAAATATCTGGTTACCATTGTGAGTAAAACTGAGACCAATCTTAGGGCATGTTTTAGCCCATCCTTCCTCTGAAGAATTTTGCTGAAAGTAAATACTGATTATGCATGTACATTTTTCTAAATGTTATTTATTGAGCACCTATTATATGTTTCATGATCCAGATGCTTTAACTGCGTTATTTCATTGAAATCTTACAGCAACTCTGTAACATCTCTTTTTGGTTATTTTAATTTCACTAATGACAGATTAATTTACAGGCTATCCCAATTTCACTAATAACAACAGTTAAGCTGGCAGTGTAATTGTTAATGAGTAAAAAAACCACAAATCAAAACCAGCCCCCAAAACAAGGTCTTTCCACTATACTACACTGACAGAACTTGTTCCTTGTCAAACAGTCTCTATGCCTAGAATATGATGGAGAGCTTGAAAGCAGTTTTCTTCTTCGAATCCCTTCCATTCATCCAATGTTTCATCAAGAATTACAGGAAAGTTATAAAGTCTTCCGAGAAAAATTGCTAACCCCTAAGAGTTCACAAAGATTATTCCAAAGAAGGAAATGTGCACAGAAATTTCAAGGAACCCAATTTCCTGATCTGATCCTCAGCTTCCACATACAGTATATTCTTTCTGAAAACTAATCTGCAGGAGATTGACCTACAGTTGTACCTTCTGAATTTTTCCTTTCCTCACCCCACATTCCTTTCATAGTTGCTCTTTTCCCATTTTACAAAAGAAAAACACTTCCAACTTACACCTTACCCTCTCATGGTATATTGTCTCAAGGGATCGTTTGAAATATTGCCATCGAGACACCCTAAGTTCCCCTTCCCAGGAGACAAACCCAAAGACACAATTTTTCTCATTAAGAAATGAGCTTTTAGTGTTTTTTTATGTTTTGCAATGATGTACCAAAAATTTTAAATGTTTTCTCTGGCTTGATAAATTATTAGTTAATTAAAGTTACAACTCAATAGAGAAAAAAGTTTTGACTTATAGAGCCTTACAAAATTAGGAAAAAACCAATTCTAACTTATAAACATGTTTTGGTAGCAGAGAACTAGGATATCAATTAAGAAATGTCAAAAATATATGTATTTCATTGGGATAAAATACTTGTGGAGGAAGTGAGAAAAGCGAACAAGATAACTAACTCTTAAAGAAGAGTTTTTTCTAGTTAATTTTAAGTGGATGCTGGTGGATATCAAATCACTTTGGTTGTCACTTCCACTGGATACATTTAAAAATAACTAGTGAAGAGTTTTATTTTTAAAAGAACATAGTTAAGGCCAGTTCATTTCCTCACAAAAACGCCACATTGATTTGCTATTCTTGACAGAAAGTGAGAGCAGGAACTAGGACATGAGAAGATGAGTATGAAAGGCCAATATTCAGACTGCAATGAATGAAGTAGGTTGGTAATGATTTCCTCTTCCCAATCCCATTATATTCATTTCAGGGAAAATGCTTTCATATACTATTTCCTCTTCTTGTTAATATCTTTCTCATATGGGAAGATATCAGCATCTTAATGATTCAGTTATTTAAACTTTTTTGATAATCTCTGTCCCTTGACTGACCCTTCTACTCCACCTCTTCTCTAGTCACAAGAGCTGAGGATAGGAATTGTCAGCAAATCAAGTTAGAGAGTGTTCGAGAGGTTACTGTGCCAGGAACTGCTATTACCTGTCTGACAAAAATTATAACAAGCACAGAAAATGTGAAGCAGGAATTCATTAATATCCTACCACTAGGAAACAGAAGATACCATGGCACTGATTTTAGAAACAACAGAAATAGATGATATTCAAAGAGATGCTGTAATTCATGTTCAGAATTGATTTTCCTAGCCTTTTTGCTGAGACTGTCAATATGTGAAATGGCTACTTAATTCGGCAAAGGTTGCAGTATTATGATGCATGTCAACTAAGAAATTAAAAGATGCTTCATCATTCACCACCATTACAAATACTGCCTGAGCTCTCAACATAAGGCAACCCATTATATCTTGGAATTCAGTTCAATATGAAGTCACATCTCAGCCCTGGAAGATCTTTGTGACAGCAAGGTGTCACCCATGCACTTTTCCCAAAGCATGATCAGAAACAAACCCACACAGACTGAATTGCAATGACATGACAGGACCTTTGATGGTCACAACTTTACTTTCTGGTAGGTGCCTATTAATTTAGACTTTATGGAAAGAAATTACTAGATGAGAAGATGGTTTCAGGTATACAAATGAGCATTTATTATAAAATGAGGATTCATACTCTAGAACTACAAAAGTAATTTTTGCCAAAATTTATTGAGTGCTGTCCACCATGCAGTGTAAATGTTTTACCATATCGATTAAGCATCATGACAATCCTTTAATATAGATACTTTGCTTACTTGCATTTTAAACACAAGGAATCCAAGGCTTAGAGGGTTAATTAAATTGCCCAAGGCCATCGGCAATTAAAGCACCGAGTCCCAACTCAAATCCAGGACTAAAAGCCCTTGATCTCAACCTGCTCTGTCCAAATGGTGGCTGTCTGTAGTACTTGAAATGTGGCCAACAGAAACTAAAATGTACAATACGTATAAAATATACTCCACATATCAAGGACTCAGAATGTAAAAAGAACATAAGCTATCTCAAGAGTAATTTTCATATTGATTACATGTCAAAATGACAAAATTCTAGATATATTGGATTAAATTAAACATATTAAAGTAATTTCCACCTTTTTAAAGACAAATTTTTCAATATGGCCACTAAAATATTTTCAATTATGTGTGTGATTCACCAGATATATCTATTGGACAGCGCTGATAGAAAACAGTGGGTATAGTGCCATATCTGTATGTATTTATGTATGTATATATGTGGATATATTTTAGCCTGGAAGGATATTAAAGTATAAAAGCATATAAAATATTAGTCGATATCAGTTTGTCTGGGCTGTCATAACAATACCATAAAACAGATGGCTTAAACAACAGATATTCGTTTCCTCCCAGTTCTGTAGGTAGGAATCCAAGATGAAGGTGCCAGCATAGTTTCCAGTGAGCACCCTCCTCCTGGTTTGCAAACGGCCTCCTTCCTGCTGCGTCCTCACGCAGCAGTGAAAGAGCTCTGGCGTCTCTTCCTCTTATTAGAGAACCAGCCCTACTGGATCAGGGCTTATTACCTTTACTCCCTCCCAAAGATCCAGTCTCCAAATACCATCACTGTGGGTTTAGGGTTTCAACCTCTGAATTTTGACAGGAGGAGTCACAAACATTCCTTCCACAAGTGGTTATCTCTGATTAATTTAATTCTAGGTGATATTTATTTCTCCTTTAGTTTTTTTCCTGATAATTTTATGCAAAGTATTTTTTCAATGGGAAAGTACACATATTATTCCATTTTGAAAACCAAAATTTCATATTGTTATTGTGACTGGAAGCAATAGAGTCATTCTTCTGGGTCGCTCCTCATGGTGCAGTTTCATGGTAGAGATTTTTTTTTTAAGTCTGTCAATATGAAGCACTTGTTTCTTATTTAGTATTGTGTTGCTTCAGTGAACACGTTCATGATTTGTAACTTCTGAGTGATGAGTTGTCCCTCACGTACAGTAGACTGGCAGGACCAGGCCACCCAAGGTAGTAACTAGGTGCTCAGAAGTTCTCCCTCGGCCTGCTGGGAGACCCTGGACTTCCTGAGGTGATTCTGGTGGCTCTGAAAGCATGAAGACCCAGGAAGGATAGCTGTAGGTGAAGCACACTTGAGATTCTAGGTAGGAAGCTCCATGCCAATGCACTGGCAGACATAAGGACTGACCTTGCTTATCCTTCACATATCTGAAACATTTAGCTCTTTGTATATAAATATGGGATATTAACAGTACACAAAAGGAGTCACTTGTATGTATAATATAAAAATACATTATTTTTGTATGGGACCTGATGAAATTTTCAGGCTCATTTAACCAGTTGTCAAATGACCAGAAAAGCAGATTAAGCTACAGACCAAGATATTTTAAGATAATGGGATGCTAAATGGGAGGGACAGCTTAGTTACAAGCATTTGATTTCCAACAGATTTCATACCTCTCTTTCTACCTCCATTCCAATAACCCTGCTAGCTACAGAATAATGAAGTTTAAATTCTCTTAGACTATTATCTCTTGGACTGCAGTAGCAATTTTTTAACACAGTGCTTGCAAATTCAATTATTATAATTTCCAGTGAAATGAAATATCACAAAGTCATTCAAATGCATAGACTAAAGATATATCTATAGTGACAAAGCAAAGTATAGGATAAAACTCATTATCCTGACCGATTGATGAACATGGACAGTCACTCTGAATAATTCGAGCCGAAAGAAGTTTTCCCCTCAATGGTTGGATATTTTTGGCCTGATTTATCCACATAATTGCCTTAGCTCTCCATTTCATTTTACCCATGTCAAAAGAACGAAGTCTCAGTACTTGATTTTGAAAGCTTCACTATTTCATGTCACGTTAGTAAGGGAGATGCACATAGCAAATTCTGGATGGGTTCTTGTGGCAGATGACTTCTATGGCTTGCACGTGTCTCTTCAATGACAGCTGCTGGGAAGAAACATCACCTCCCAGCTGCACGACTTGCTCCTTCTCTCCCTTGTGAATTAGGAGGAATTGAATGTTTGGCTTTAAAGTGGCACTTCACATTCCTCTCATTGAACATCACAATTGTACGCGGACGAAAGGAAACAAAAAAAACCATCACTGGCAATTGATGGAAGAAAAAATAGTCCTCTCATTACAAAGATAATAAGCATGATGTTCCCCTGCAGCCTTTCTTCCTAATTCTCCGTATTGTATCTTATTAAATGATGCAGTTTGAAATTAAGGTTCTGGCAACCTTCATGCACACTCTGCATAAGCAAGCAAAACAGAAACACAGTTCAAAGAGCAAGTATAAGTCCCTCCCAAAAGCCATCTGCTTTCTTTTTGTTATGAAACTTCAATTCATCAGCAAAACTCTAAAGAAAATATTTATGGCAGAAGGGTAAGCCTGCATTTTGAAGCTGCTTTGAGGCGGGGATAACAAGCCATAGAAAACTTGGTTAAATTGTGTCACTTACTAACCAATCTAGAACAAGTCATGTAATCTGCTTCATTCATTCATTCAATCTTTTATTTACCTGTTTGTTCACTCAACATTAAAATTTAAGAACCTCAATGTGCCAGGAACTCTCACAGGTGCCTTTGTTTCCACATCATAAAGGAAAATGATAATTATACCAGCCAAGCCTACTTATCAAGTTTGCTAAAAACCATAAAGCAAATAAATTATAAAACAAAATAAATATATATATAAAAGAAAAACTGAGAAAGGATAAAAGAAAAAAAACCCTGTTTGTTTTCTACCAATAAGCCACCAGAAGAAAGCACAAAAGTCATTTAGTGATGTATGCAAAAAATAAATAAGTGTGATTGTACCATAGAGGAGATTTATTTATCTGTCCGCTAACACAAGCTTCTGCTAATTTTCACTCTGGTAAATCTGATAAAGTCTGTTCCTCTCCCTATTCTTACCAGTTGTTCTTCTCAATGGAGTGAGCCAATGATTCAGACAGTATAAACTGTCTTAATCACATTGAATAAACATACAAATAAATATATATTAAACAATAATACTGACATGTAATCTAAGTTTACCAAGCAAAATGTCAATGTCACCCTGAACTTACTCTTCCACTTTCCTCACAGTTTACACCCCTCTGACCCTATGGTAGCTTTCAATAATGGCCTTTAGTGAAATAGGACTAAGGATTGGGCATAAAGAAGAAATAAAACTTCTTTGTGTTCAAATTAGGTTGGGATGGGGATATTTGTTTCCACAGCATATTCCAGCCTCGCCTAACAAATTCAGAAACTGTACCAGTAATAAACCATAACAAAGAAACCTAAAATTTGCAGCAATGGATTAGCAATTAAACAGAGGCAGCAAGGAATCCCATATTGGAAGCTGGGGAGATGACAATCCATTTTATGCCTGGGAAAGCATTTTAATGAAATTATTTCCCGTGGTAATTTGAGAGGCAGACCGTAAGCTTCTAAGCCCACTGACTGAGGGAAAGAATGTTGAAAGCGAATGTTGCCTGTGTTTGGCAAAAGATTACAAGGATGAAATAAATTTAGGAAAACCTGGCTGGTTTGCAAACAGAAGTGAAAGGGATAGGCATGGCTCAGAAACTGTGAGACTTGAAAATTGAAAAAGTGAGTACTTCCAGAGCCCAAACAGTAAAACTTGAGATCTCAAAAGACTGCAACAAAATCACAATGAAATTTCCTGTTGGATGAAATGGCCCAGGACAAGGATCAGATTAAGTGTGTGAATTCCCCATGTATTATTCAGACATCTTCAAAGAAGGCAGCACAAAGTTGACAAATACTTGGAAGAGAGAAGCAATGAAACAAAGCTTTTAGAACTCTGTCTGTCTAGAAAAGAACATAAGCTATGATCACAAACACATGGAGCTTATTGGAAGCAAATATATCAGAATCTTACTTTGTTTGTGAGGGAACTACATCACCAAAGAAACCATGAGTCTGCACTAAAAATACACTGACATTTGAGACTCGCAGCTCTTGGGTCCCCAGTGTTCCAGTGACAAAGATGAGCGAGAAAACCATGCGGCTCTCAAGTAGGCCATGTTCCCCAGTGCCCGCTTCAGAGGTGGCTGAAGAGAATAGTGGCAAAGGAAGCTGATCTCAGAGGCAAAGCTTGCAACCAGAGCACAATGGCTGAAAGAACGCTCAAGGGCAGAACTAAGGCCTAATCCAGGAACAATACCCGCCCACAGAGCAAAGGAGCCTTCCCCACATCTTCCCAGGGAGATTGCAGTGTTGCTGAACATCCCCAATTTTGCCCTTTCCAAGCAGGAATATGCACCATGGTTTTCCTGCCCCTTTCCACCAGTGTAGATCCAGTGAAGCAGGGAAGTTCTTACGATTTTCCTTTCAGTTCATAGGTTACCTTATCAACAAGAGCTTTACGTGGACCTGGTAGAAAGGCCCATGTACTCTAGAAAGACTGATGAAGTGACTGGACTGGACTATTGGGATATCTCCCCTGAGGCTGGGTTGTGATGTCCTATGGTTGTGAAGAAGGGAGTCATTGGAAATCTGATGACAAGAAGGGCAGAGAATGGAGAGGCTATAAGTGCCTACCTAAGAGTCTGTATTGCTCTACATGTCCAAGCCCCTATACAGCTATCTAAGTGGGATCATGCAACCAGATAAGTGAAATCAATCATCAGTGGAAAGTAAGCAAAAGGAATATGTTAACTTTCCCCCTAAATCTTCTCCTGTTCTGTCCTTTTCCTGCTCTGTGACCTTGGAGGCAAAGTGATACAGATGGTGTAGCTACAAGATGGAGGAGGGGTATAGTGATTATAGTAAATAATACTGCATTATATACCTGAAAGTTGCCAGGAAGGTAAGTCTTAAATGTTCTCACTACAAAAAAGAAATGATAATTATATGACATGATAAAGGCATTAGCTAATACTATGGTTGTAGACATTTTCCAATATATATCAAGTTAACATGTTATATGCCTTAAATTTACAGTTTTTTTGTCAATTGTATCTCCATAAAGCTGGGGGAAAAGATGGAGGAGGCATTAGAGTTTACATAAGAGAGAAATATATATTATTTGTGTAGAGTTACCAGGATTCAAGGGCTTATTTATTATCAAGGTATAGCCTAGATTAGATTAACTAATACACTATGCAATATAAACCCCATCTTCATTGTCCCCACAAAGTTTTTGGCAGAGTTTATGCTGAGAACTAAATTTTTAGGTGTGAATGAGTGGGGAAGGATGGATTTGAAAAGTTTCCATCATTGTCTGGGTTAAAATGAACTTAAAATATTAAGAAATAACATGCAAACACAGGTGCATTGCCATCAGAAACAGCTAACATGTAAATTACACTTAAGTAACTACCTCTCGGCTCCCCATGCTCCTCTCTGGACACAGGCGGCAGATTTCAAAACAGCTGCAATGGGATATCCCAGCTCCATCCTGGACCAGGACAGGAACACATCTGGGTATGTCTCATATGATGGTGTGGCAAAGTTACAGAAGTGTATGTACTGGGAGTACAAAGGAGACTCCTAGAAAAGAACTCATACTTAGGAAGGAAGGAGTTGGGCACGAGAAAATTCACCCAACAGCAAAGCCTCAATCATTGAAGGGAAGAAGTGTTCTGGACATAACATGGCATCTTCTTCCATTTCTTTCCCTGGCCTAGTGGCTAAGCCCTAGGAATAGAGAGGGCTATAAATGAAACTTAGAATTTATTTAAACTTCTTCAAGACATTAGGTGTATTGACACAACTTTGCTAATCACGTGACAGAGATAACAAGATGAGAAGGCAGGCATTCCTGATTTTGCCACGGTCCCCTTGATGAAGCTTTGCTACCATGAAGCATTCGTGTGAAAGCCACGGTCCCAGATGGTACAAGGGGTATCACCAATGCAGTGCCAACATGCCCATGCTCTCTAACTGATCACCAGACTTTTCGCAAGCACTTAAGAAACATTGCCTGAGGACCCCCACGAAATATTCAGGGCTGGAGAGAGAGGACTTTACCAGGGACTGAATTCCTGGGTGAATGAGTCAAGGATAGAGCTAGGGAAGTCTCATTTATCAGTTAGCTCTTATTGTATAAAATCACCCCAAAACTCACTGGAATAATGCAAGAAACATTTCTTATTTCTCACAAGTCTAGAAGGATCGGGCAGCTCTGGCGACCTGGGCTTGGCCTGGTTCATGTTGTCTTGGCCCACTCACGTGTCTGCAGTCAGTGTACAGGCCGGCTGCGGACCTGCTGAATTAGGTGGCCTTGGCTGAAATGACTGCTCTCCTCCACGTGTTTCCCACATTCCTCCAGTGAATTAACTCAGGTTTGTCTGAGAGAGAGAGGGAGAGAGAAAGCAAAAGAGCACAAACTTCGTGAGACCAAGGCTTGGACTCAGAACACAACCAATTCCACCCTATTCTGTAGGTCAATGCAAATCATAAGGAGTGCAGAAATAGACTCCACCTCTTGATGGAAAAATCTGTAAAGTCATTTGCAAGGGAGGCAGATAACTGACAGGGAAATTACTGGGGCCGTATTTGCGATCAATCCACCACACCTGGGTTATTGCTTTTATCCTGATACTGTTTGTATAGGAGAAGCTTGGTTATACTCCCTGTAAGTTTCCTGGAACTCTAAAGTTGGAAAGATCTTAGTGATCACTGTCTACTCTAACCTCCTAATTTCAGAGGGAAGGAATCTGAGACCCAGCCAGGCTATGAAATTTTGTTAATATCCCACAGGCAAAGGAGGACTGGAAATTATTTGTAATTCAGCTCAGAGCTTTTTCCACTACACTGTACTATCCCATCTTCCAAGGACACTTCTAAGATACAAAAAAAAATTGGTTTTGTTCTCCCTTTTTTTCCCCATCCACCACATTTGCCATGAAATGATTATCTAGAGAAACACCCACAGCATCCAATGAAGACTAGTAGTCTCTCAGCCAGGGTTCCCTCACTAGTCCCTGTCCTTTCCACAGGATGAGCCCTCGGCGCGTGAGCATACTGCCCAAGCCCTCGCTCACAGTGAACTTCCTTCCCTAGTCCTAGTTATCTGTCCTGTCACATGATTGTCCCTCCCTGAAAAATCAGTCTGCCCCAGAAAGTCCCAGCATTTGCCCTACAATGTCTATATTTGTCTCAACATTTTAGGATCATGAGAGAACCACTCTCATAAACAGTTGTTAATAACCTTAATTTTGCAATTTTCCCTTCATATTTTGCATAAATAGCTATGGCTCTGCCTTTCTCAACCATAGTTTTTCTCCAGAATCTATAGTACAAACAGAAAATTGAAAGTGCAGAATTTACTTTCCACCTCAAAAGATTATAAACCCATTTTAACCGACAACTGTTAGAAACACAGGTTATTTCTTATGTTTTTCTTTTGAATGAGAGAAATAGAGGAAGAGAAAAGGTAAAACTTTCTAGATCTCGATCCCCTTCAAGCAGTTGGAATTCACGGGCAAAGTGGTGGGTCAGGAACATCACGTGGCCTCACATTCTTGGACACAAGCATATGCTGAAATGACTTGTTACTGATGAGGTCTGCTGCCTATACACACAGCATGAAAACAGGAAGAAGAGCTTCAATTTTTCAGTCATTTTTATGATTCATCTCTGTTTTTATGGGCATCCCAGCATAGTTCACCTCATTAGCCATTACAGAGATTTTAATTTTTGAGTTAATCCTGGGTTCATTCATCAGAATGAATATTAATATCTTTCTAATGTGATTTTTAATTAAACTTAGCATCACCATTATAACACCCCAAATATCTAAATAGAGTTTGAAAGAGAAGGCAGACACTTTCACAATAAATACCAGAAAATTCTGCCCACATTCCTTTCAAAAGGCTGATCACCTATGAAGTAATGAGAATAAATTGTGAGATAATGTAGGACAGATCCAATTACGATAATGAGCTACAATTATGGACATGATTTTCCAGGGTTAAAGATCTTAACAAAAGGCAATATATGCATATATTTTAAATATCCTTTTTGGTCTACTTACTTATATTAGCTCTGCCTCTTAAAAAGGAAAATATTCATCAAAAGTAATGACCCTGAGTCCCTGCAAGTGCAGTTTTAACTCTTTTTGCTATTACTTAGGCATTTTAATACTCTGACAGACTTTTTTTAAATTTACTCTGTGTATCTGGCTGAAACAGCCTTTTTTTTATTTGCAGCATTCAAGGGGAAAGAGGCGATAGGAGCAGTGTTCCCTCTGCACCTTGGAAGCTGTATTATGAAGGTATTTTGACTATTACAGATTTAGATGAATGTTCCTGGAAGGAACTAACTAATCAGCCTGCCCTCAACAGCAGTGGTAGGTGAGACAAGCAAGGAAAAGGTATAAGCGAGTTTTGTAGGTGTACCTCACTGCCATCTTTGCTCCTCTCCAAAGACCGAACCACCACCACTTAATCTTTGGTCAACCCTGGTCAGTCAGTGGAAATAACTATTTCTTAAGATGTGTGGAAGTGTTGTAGGAGAGCCCTGGAAGGTCTGATGGCTACACTACTTGGTAAAGACTCAACATTGCACTCTGAAAACTTAGGCACTTCTACTGGCACCCACTAGAGCTGACAGGTGGAAGGAACTGAAACCTAAGAGGGGCTAAGAGTTCTGCTCATATCATGTGCCTTATCAGCAGAAACTCAAAATCTTATCAGTGATAAGGGACAAACCAAAGGAAAACTCAAAATCGTATCAGTGATGCTTATGTCACAGCAGATCCCCAGCCCCGAGTCAGCCTAGAATGCCTGCCATTCACAGCTGCTGCCATTTACATTCAGTAGCATGGTTCCATGGGTCTATTTTAGACTATGACGCCAGCAAGCTCAGCTCATTACCACAAGGAAATTGTCTGGCACTGTGCTTGACTGCAGTGCAGTAGGCTTCTGAGCTCCATTAACTCCCCAGCCTCCAGGACCCTTCAGTCACAGCCTGTGTGACTATATCAAGTGGCACTTCATTGAGATCTTGAGAGCCTAAGGATCCTTGAAAAATATCAGACAAAACAAAAGGATGGATGCCTGAAAGACATAATGATACATTTGAAAGCAAAGATTGTCAGTACCCTGTTCACAGGATTTTTATAGCATTTTGCTTTGCATTTCTTTTCACTATTGCATATGCTCTCCTTCCCACTCCTTCTCTCTATGTCTGTGGTATTGTGGAAAGAATATTGCTAAAAAGTCAAAAGACTTGCATTTTCTAGTACTGGCACCAGCTCTTACTAGCTGCACAGATCTGAGTAAGTCACATAGCCACTCTGATCTTCCATTTCCTCAAAACTGAAATTGGAAAAATGCTGTCATCTTATAGGATTTATGTGAGGACTAAATGAGATCATGAAATATAAGCACATTTAAGATTAAAACCTATAGTCGACATCACCTCAAAATAGTGCTGTCAATATGTTCCCAACGTATTAGATAATTGGGGAAGCAAAGCCATGGGATCGAAAGTTTATAACCAGTGATTGATTAGTGTCTTGAGGAAGTAAAATAATGACTTTTGAATTTGGCTTATTTCAAATACAACCCTCTGGGCCCTGGCTAGAGATCTGAGGATCTGGGAAAAGGCCTGAATACAGGCATTTCAAGCCACAGGAACATCTTTTCCAAGGATCTATATCTATCAAATACATTTAAATAACTCTTTCACTTTAACACCCATGCTCATCCTATTAATTTTCCTTCCTCTCCATTTTCAGGATCCAATATAATGAAATAGAAACAGTATTATGGGCTTTGTAGGCAGACAGATCTGACTCTGCCTCATTCAACTCTCTGAGCCTCGGGTTTTTTGCAGTTTCTCCCACATCCCCAAACTAGTTCCTCCCATTTCCTCCAATCTAAGATCAGCTCAGATTATTATTATTTACTCTATTTAATGTAAGGTTGAGAGTGACTTGCAGCCCATTAAACTTCCAGGGGACATTTTTCTTTTAAAATCCACATCATTCTCCTAAACTTCAGATATAGATGATGAACACCTTGGAGAAAGGAACTCTGCTAGCCTACCTGAATGAATATCCACTGCCCTTAAGATCAATGCCAGGCCATGCCACTCTCTACTTGTCCTCTACACTATCATTTGTCAACTTTGATGTCACCCAGGACCACAAACACAGCAAATCCAAAACTCAACTAATCACCTTCCTTCCCAAACCTGTATTCCCTGTCCTAGTGAATTAAACTGCTGTAACTCAGTCTGGTACTTATCTTCCCACTTTTCTGTACCACGACTGATTTCTGGCAATGGCTTCCCAATCAACATTCCTTGCTCTAGTCTTGCTTCCTCCAATCAGCTTTCAACAGAACAGAGAGAATGGTCTTCCTAATGAGCAAATAGAATCATTTTATGCTCCTATTCAGAACCCTTACACATGCCCCCCTAGCCTACCAGACAACATCTGAATCCTGAGCCTGTCACTCTCAGTCTGTATATTCTCCAGCCCTCTCACCAGTCATTCCCAGTCCCATGCCACATGTTCAATGTGTGGCTCTGATCTGTTAAAACACCTTCAGGTCTGTACGAATATGTGCCTCTCAGAATACCTTCTCTTCTCCGTCTGCTCAGTGAACTCCTACTCATCCTTAGGTAATTAGCTCAAAGGCACCTTTTTCTGGGATTTCCTTATGCCCTCCCTACCCCACCTCTACCTATCCCGCATGTCTCTATTTTGCACAAATCTCTTTTGTAATGAGTGCCCACTGTAGTGTGTTTACAATTATTTGCTAACATATTTGGCTTCCGAACTGGTCATGGAACCTTTGAAGATAAGAACTATGTCTTGGTCATCTCTGTATTCCCAATAGCTGTCATATAACAGGGCCTCTAGTCTCTTACCCACCTCTTCCAGTTGTACATATTAAGACATCCCTTAAGCAACTTTGTGGGGATTTTTGTGGTGATTGAAGAAAGTCTGTTTGGGTGTCTGAATTTTATTTGCCCAGAACTACCCAAGAACAGCTAGAAGACAGTGTGAAGTAATGGAAATACTAATTAGTTGTCTGAGTGTCTGAAGTAATGGTTTATAGTCCTAAAAAGTGTTGGTATTTACATGGGTCTTGGAGCGATTGTTTGTTTCCCCATTTCCCTTACTTAGAACCTGAGTGTCCAATCCTTGTCTTCCTCACTTTCCTCTCCCTCCAAATGGACCTGAGTTAATCATGTATTGGAGAAGTATGTCTGTATACATTGTAGAGGCTGTAAACCTTAAAAAATCTGGCTTCAATTAAAATGAATGCAATCCTAACATAGTGCCTCAAGGTACCTCAATATAGCACAACAGATATAACTGTCACATTTTGACACTGCAGGTAATGTTATTCCAAGGAAATTATAATTTGAAATTTTTTACCAGCACTTTGTGTCTTATTCACATTTCTCTAAAGTTTGATTCTCAAGGTGCTATACCAATGCCATTTATTGTTTTCACTGACATTTAAATCATTTTACTCTATAAGCCATGTCTCTCTTCCTTCTGATGACATCATTCCATCTTCTCTGTTGAAAATCTTTATTTAGGAATACTCTGCAAGTAGTAATAGCAAACAAACAGCACATCCAGGATTCCTCAACTAAAACTGACATATCAGGCCAATAGCATAAAACGTGGCTGTAGAATATTTGTTTTTCAAACCCACATTTGTAAATCCTTTTAAACCAACTAGAAATATGAATGCATTCTGTTTTCCTCTGACCCCCCTCATTACTTATGTGCATTCACCACCACATAAAACAGAGCGGGTTTTCTTAGGCAATAGTGCAGTGTACAAGATGCATTTCATTCAAGGTTTTGCCCACTTGCTTAAATTAACTTCTGTGGGGGTTGAGAAGGAGCTGTGTCCACCAGTTACGTGCACAGGTGCCTTGGGTATCTGAGGCTTCAGTAATCGTTTCTGTTGCTGCTGTTACTTATTCCCTATTACAACTGATAGTTTAATTTTACTAAATTGCTCTTCTAGCCTAAAAGGATTTTTACTGCATTCTGGGTATTCTTTATACTGTATTTATACTTTCTACTGTTTTCATTACTATGGAATAAAAATGTATTCCCACTATTTGGATGCAAAGGGCAGGTTCTAGTCAAGAAGGACAACCATTAGCTTGGATATCACTTGAATAATATGCCATGACAATTTGCCCAGATAGTTTTGTTGTGTGGGGTTAATAATAACCTAAGCCTGGCTGTTTCCAACTTTACAGCTAGTGAGCTTTTTGAAAATACTTCTTTTTCATAGAATTCTGTCTCAAATAACACCACAAAACACTACTTTGTGGAAAATGCTTATGTAGTTATTAACTCTGTTTCCCTAACAGCTAATGAAAAACATACAAAGTCCTGGATTCTTAAAGAGCAAAGAAAGAGGAAAAGCTGACTCTCCAGTGCTCAAGTGTCCCTGAATCACCTAAGCTGCATGAGTATTGGAAAAAGAGATCTTCAGAGGCCTTCAGTCATTTTCATGTGAAAATTTAAACTGATTACTGATCTTTCAACTCCATAAGCAGCGAAAGATGGATTTTGTCTTTTTTTTTTGTAGGAAATTTTTAAAGAGGTATTACTTCCTAATGAAATAGTGTATTCTTCAAACAGGGAAAGAACATAAGGCAAGGGGTGTAATAACATTTCAAGAAGGCTCAGTAATGGTGTACATCTGGGTTCAGCCCCTGTGAGGGCAGGCCCCTTAGCTCAAGCTTTTACATCAGCTTTCAGGTGGAATCTCACTGAAATGCATATTACATCAGGAAAACCTGGTCCAGAATTACAATTAAAATTCAGTATAATAAATATCATTTCAAGTAAGGTCTCTGTAAAACAGAGCTATTTCAGAATGCCAATAATTTGTAGATCTGACCTAGCAAAATGCTCTTGAAAAAAATTAGCTTGTCAACAAATGGAATCTCTAGTCCCTGAACATGTTAAAGGCTTTCTCTATCATGAACATAGCTCCTTGTCTGAACTATTCGATTTAGAACTCAATTTTACTTCATTGAGCTGAATCCCATGTGCCATTATAGTCCCAGGAATTAAAAATAAAAATGGATGCTTAAGAAAGGAGACACTTTGGGTAAACACCAATTGCCATGTTTAGCTTATTTAAGAAGGAAGTATCCATGTGCACCTAGGAGGACACCTTACACCCATCCACATTACACAGAGTTCTACAATTGTGTCTTTGTCCATAATTATTGCAATCCCAGAGCACAGCCCAAGCCAGAAGGTCATTGTGACCTGGCTCTGTCAGCACCCTTCACCCATGACTCATTCCTCTCCTCCCAAATAGACATCAGAATTTAGTCCTCAGACTCAGTACACTTTCTTTCTCAAAACTGCCTTGTAAAAACATCCAATGAACCTCTGCTTTTGATAATAGCAGACTTGGTAATCAATATCATTCTTTCCAAAGAAGACAAATTGGGAAACACTGGATGAAATATTTTTAAAATGGCCTTTAAAATCATCAAAGATCTAGAGTTGAAAAAAGATGTCAGCATGAGAAGTGAGGCAGAAAACTCCTCCCAAAACCACATAACACAAAAATACAGCAAATACAACTAATCCTGAAAGAGCAATCCAAAGACTGCAGAATAGACTGCCTACATCTGAGTAAAAGAGAAGACCTCACAGAAAAGGGTAAAGTAGCAAAACCATGATCTTGCAGGACCCAAGCCTTCCCCCAACCCCAGCTAGCAGGTGGAAGGAAGAGAAATGGAGCAGGGAGGCAGTACAAGCCCAGGAAATCTGAACACCCAGCCCTGGATATCTGCTCTGGGAGCACAAACCCACATTACATGGTACTCTGGAAATTAAAGGGTTTGGAAAACAAAGATGGGCAGAATACTGGGAGAAACTGAGATTCCATCCACTTGTGTAGAACAGGTATGCACAACAACTGTCCTCCAAACCCAACAAAAGAAAGGCAGGTACTTCAAAAGACTTCCCAACAGTGAGAGGGGCATTAAAGGGGCAAAGATTACATAGAGCTCACTGCTCAGGAGAGAGGGCAGGTGGACAAAATCA